TCCCTCGGTCGGGAAATTAGGATAAAAGGGGGGCTGCGTCCCCCAGCAATTTGAGAGACCCCACAGGGATATGCTCGGTGGGCTCTCCCTTTATTCGAATAAAGTTTTAGGACTCCTCTGTCTCCTTTTGGACATTCAGTTCTTGACAGCAAGATTTTCCGCACAAGTAAAACCTCTGTGTTACCTTCCCCACCCAGCGTACCAACCTGGGGTGACGCGCACGTTCAAAACTCACATGCTGCAAAAGTCCTCTAGAAATAGGTTGTCGTGAGGAATAAGCTGTCCTGAAACTAGCTCAGACACTCTGTTCCGTGATGGCAGGTGAGCAGTTGAATTCAGGTCACCCTTATGACCATGCGAGTCTGGCCAGCTCTAAATAACGGCACCATGGCGGCCTGCCTGCCCAGCTGGCCAAGTCCATGGTCTCCACATTGGCCATCGGTCTTTCCAGATAAAATAGGCATTAAGCTGGTATGACAGAGCAGGACTGGCTACCCAAAAGCGCCAACAGCTCCCATTGATAAAGCACTTTGCCAGGTACCACGCATAACTGCACAAAAATAGCTTGCATCCATAGAAACATCTCCACGGGAAACAAGGGAGAGCTGAGTTTACGGCACGCTGGCTGGGTGCCAACACCACGGATGTAGGTGTAAGTGGTGTTTCTGGCCCAGCTTAGGAGCTTTAGGAGTGTTTTCATGGAGATCTGCATTTTGGTGTAGCCAAAGGTACCTGGCACTGAGGGACATCACGTCCTCAGGGAGGGCCAGTCCCATTCTTCCGTATGTCCAACCATCCCGCTGGCAGGAACAGGCCATGCGATGAGCCGCTCCATGGGCATTTTCCCATGGGATACATCAAAGGAGGGCAGGCGGCAATTTGGCACAGCCCTTCGGCAGGAACGTAGCTACAGCGAGAGAATATCCCTATTGTCTCCAGAGGATTTGCCTATGGAGCTTAAGTAATTCACGTGCTTAAGTGGTTTGCTGGAGTGGAGCCTGAATGCAGCTTTTGTGGAAAATCACTTTTTTTTGACCTTGGTGTTTTAACAGAGCTGCTTTAATGGTCCTTTCCCCAAGACTGGTTTACACAAAGATAGCAATTAATGAATACCAAGGTTCTCCCATATCAGTTAGTTAAGGGAAGCTGTGCAAGATGGGGCGAGAAAATTCGCAGAAGCTGTTGCCTTCCATCAAGGCTCTTCCAACTAAAAGCACATTTATTCAGGGAGGTTGTATTGCAGGCTACTGAATTGCCAAGAGGCTGCGAGTGCCGTAGGAGCAGATACAGCTGCCCATGGGAAAGTCTGTTCCCGGAGAAAGCCGGCTGTGAAATTACAGCAGCTAAAACAGAAGGTGGCGTTCTATATTAAAATACAAATCAGTTTAGCCGTCTTCCAGAGAGAAGCAGCTTGGAGCATCTAGGGTCTTTAGATGTTATCAAGGTCAATGATTAGGGTTAGAGCCATGGTCTTAACTGAGGATGATGATAAAGAGTTTCATGCTCTCTATAGCTAAGAGAAAAGTGACTCTACGCTCTATACTGGCCTTAAAAAAAAAAAAAAAAAAAAAAAAAAAAATAAAAGCACTAACTTGGACCATCTATGGACCATTTATACCAGGAACAACAGCAACAAAAAATCCTTCTCATGGATTCTCATTTTGGAGTGATCCTATTCTGGGTTGAAATTCATCTCTACAAGACTCTCCCAATAGCTTGGACCCCAGCACTTTGATTTCGGTGGTGCTAGAGCTCGACTGCAGATGTTTATCAGCACAACAGCATGTATGTTGGTCAGACCTTCAGAAGGGATAATGTTGAAATGATCTGGATTGAAAACAGCACCTGTTTTCATGGTTTGCAGTGTAGTCCCACAGTGAGCTGCATGGGCCCAGCCAGGAAGGTGGTGGCAAGGGCAGGACCTTTAGTGGAGTGTGGCACAGTACCTTCTCCAGCTGCCATCACGTGAGGACCCCCAAGGTTCCTAAGGCAAGAGCGTAGCTCTTTTTATTTGACTCTTTTCCTTGAACAGGGAAACATAATTAGGTGCTCCTTAGAGCACCTAAGGAAACTCCATACCCACAAATCCATGGGCCCTGATGGGATGCACCCCAGAGTGCTGCGGGAGCTGGCAGATGCCATAGCTAAGCCGCTCTCCATCACCTTTGAAAGATCCTGGAGAACAGGGGAGGCGCCGGAGGACTGGAAGAAGGCCAATGTCACACCAGTCTTCAAAAAAGGCAAGAAGGAGGACCCAGGCAACTACAGGCCAGTGAGCCTCACCTCCATCCCCAGAAAAGTGATGGAAGGGCTCATACTGGCTGTTGTCTCCAGGCACATGGAGGACAAGAAGGTGCTCAAGAGTAGTCAGCATGGATTCACCAAGGGGAAATCTTGCTTGACTAATCTGATAGCCTTCTATGATGAAATGACCGGCTGGATAGACGAGGGGAGAGCGGTGGATGTCGTCTATCTCGACTTCACCAAGGCTTTTAACACCGTCCCTCACAACATCCTCCTGGGCAAGCTCCGGAAGTGTGGGATAGATGAGTGCACAGTGAGGTGGATTAGGAACTGGCTGGATGGCAGGGCCCAGAGAGTGGTGATCAGCGGTGC